TTGCTCTTGTTTAATTACTTCCCCGTTGGCGAATTCATCTGGGTAACCGTACAATAGGCATTTAAAATTTTTAATACCAAATCATTAATGCTTATATAAAAGTGAAATAGTGTGTGAAATAAGACTTTCTGTCTAGCTATCTTTGTGGAGTTGACCCAAGATTAACAAATATAGTAATTTGTTAAATTTACAAATCACAGTAAATTTCTGTGATTTGAAGGCCCCAAGAATCCCCTGACCCCAAAACCCAACACTGCCCAGTGGCCTTGATGCCTTAAATCTCCTGTCGCCAGGCGACTCCTTAGGGGTGAATACACTGCTACTTGGGACTGACACCCACAGATATATTTAAAAAATAGATGAATCTATCTGCAAGCAGGCTCCTTATCTAAATTTTCACAAAATGAAACCCTCCAGCAAACCTAGGGAGAACGAAGTTAAAAGTGTGAAGCAAACACATTTTCTGAGAAAGGAAGGAGACGCTGGAACCCTCTTGGCTGTCTCCCACATTCCCCATCATTTGTCAGCCTGGGACCTTGTGTTTCACCTGGGCTTGTTCCCCCTTTCAGAGCTCAGCTGGCGTATGAACAGTCACATGTTGCATTTCAAAACAAATCTACCCTGTTCTCAGTTATCTTTGAATGGAGAGAAAAACAATCAATCGTGAGGGTTTTTAGATTAGTCTTGGCTTCATTTTGCTTGTAAAACATAATCATCTTACTTGATTTGATGACTTTGGTTTGAAGTGCTAAGCTTCTTGGTTTTTTGTTTTTTTTTTAAATAAAGGAGGCTGCAGTTCTGGAGTTTTGCTGTAACCTCACATCTCAGTCTGCGAAATCTTGTAAAGAGCTCTGAGGTCCAATGCTGGGATAAGTCTCATTTAATAGCGTTATTATCCACGGACACAGCAAGGTGCAATCTGGATGTAGTTCCTAAACCAGTGTGCTTTTGGTGAATGTCTAATTTCTCTATTGTCCAGGGAAATGTATGTATGGGGACAGACTGATGCAGCAGATGAGAAGGTACATAGACTGGATGGGAAAGTACTTTGTAAGGAAGATGATTCAAATACAACTCAGGTTGGGGGGGAAATGGCTTTTTAAAATAAATGAAATTTCAGGATGTTAATGTGATTTATTTCACTTAATGGAGCTGGTGCCGGATGGCCCAGAGGTAACAAATCCCTCGCCTGCTCAGGCTAAGCAGGATATCATGTTTCCCAGCAGTTTGTTTCCTCACCTTGAAGAGGACCCCGAGTGTGTATGAAAAAAGAAAATCACCGATGGTTGGAGAAAAGCAACTCTTGTTGCTTTATCTTCAAGAGAGGTCTATCATTTTCTGATTTTTTTTTTTCTTTCCACCTAGAAGGTCTGGGGTGGATGTGATAGGTAGCTTTGGGGAATATTTGATGTCCGTCATTTTACCAAGGAAGCCTTTAAACGAACCTGTCATTCTGTGCCCGAACAATTAGTGTTTTATGACCTGCTGCCCAAGCACATTTGCAAATTACAAGCACACCTCTGTGTGGTTTTTCAAAGAGGAGCCCTATTTCCCCCAGGGCAGCAGGGGTTTCTATGTTGTGTGACTATCTGAACCTGTTATTCTGTCTGAAGAGCTCTGGAACGGCAGCTCCTCCAGGAGAAATAGAAGATTCAGTGCAAGGTCTCCAGGTACTTGAGGGCACCAGAGAGCCTTAATCTTTACATGGATGTTTACAAATGGGTCACCGCATATTTGGCCCAGAGAGAGAGAAAGTTACATCTCATGTGTCATCAGCTTGCCCCTTGAAAGCTACCATAAGTGAAGGGGGCACCATCTATGAAATAATAAAGTCAGTAAGGAAAAAGAATTTGCCTGGTTAAAACTGGATCCACACCTGCCTTTGGGGAGCGTATTCATTCCATTAAATTGGATATGCCTAATCTGGGGAAACTGAGGCAGTAATATAAGCCAAAGTGCCTAAGGATGGGGACAGCAGGTAAGGATTACCCAGTTAAACAGCCTCCTTCCTGTTGCCGCCTCCACACTTTGCCTGCCCAGAGGCCAGCCAGTTGTCCCGCACCACCCACACTTGCCAGTACATTAGAGTGGATTATTTGTCTCTTTTTGTCAGCACTGAAATGAGGAGTCAGGCCCTGCCAAGGTGGCTCCACTGAGCGGGGCAGTGATTTATAGATTAATTATTTTAGGGAACAAGGCAGCACAGCACAATGTAGTGGAAAGAGTGCTGCGCTAGGCGAAGCCCTGCATTTTAGTGCTGGCTCGGATCCTTAATAGCTGTTTGACTTTGGGCAAGTCACTTAACCTCTCTGGGCCTTAGTCTCCTTATCTGTAAATTGGAAATAACAATAATTGATGGTTGTTGGACTTCCCTGGTGGCACAGTGGTTAAGAATATGCCTGCCAAGGCAGGGAACGCGGGCTCGAGCCCTGGTCCAGGAAGATCCCACATGTCGCAGAGCAACTAAGCCTGTGCACCACAACTACTGAGTCTGTGCTCTAGAGCCCGTGAGCCACAACTATTGAGCCTGCGTGCCACAACTACTGAAGCCCGTGCTCTGCAACAAGAGAAGCCACCGCAATGAGAAGCCCACGCACCGCAACGAAGAGTAGCCCCCGCTCGCTGCAACTAGAGAAAGCCTGCACGCAGCAACGGAGACCCAATGCAGCCAAAAATAAATATAAATAAATAAATAAATAAATTTAAAAAATTGATGGTTGTGGTGATCAAATAAAACCCTGACTATGAAAGCATTTTATTGATTGTAAGGCACTAAACATATGTAAAGGATTGTTATTGTTGTTAGATTTCTAGGGACATGTACAGTAACACCACCTAGCCATTCTTCAGTCCCAGGACCTCAGGAAGAACCCTAGAAGTCATAGAGGAGAGGGCCCTGAATTTGTTGCCCTTATAAGCCGTTCCACAAATCTGCTCAACTCTACCACGGGATGGGAAACGGGTCAATTATCAATGGTACTAACTAAATAACACTTCACTCTACTCAACACAAAAGAGCCCCCGTATGTTTTATGACCATTAGCTTCTCAGTATTAAGAACAATTTTGGATATGAGGTGCAAATTACAATTTACAGTCTCTCTCCATTATCCGTGCATATGGAAGGGAGAAAACAGGGTGGGTGATCGTAGAAAGTGGAAAATACTAAGGTCACATAGTATAGAATGAGCTCTCCTAAAGAATATAAAATCCCAAAGTCACATAGTGTATGATATGATTCACAATGTTTTATTCAGACTATAAGCTGGGGAGGCACTAAGAGACCACTTATTTGATATAATTGTTCTGGGGTGAATCCATGAGGTTGGTGAGCCATATGTAGATAGTTCTGGCTTTTCTCTAGTATGACATTTCATTTCACAGGTGAAGAAAATAAAGGCGTTCCTTAAGCCAGTTGTAAGACTTCCCCATCGAGGGTTCTACCTAGGAGATCTCATTTCTAGAAGAACTCTGATAGAAACCCTCACTGCTCTCACACAGACAGGTTTGACTATTTGGACTGGTTTCACCTCCCAATTCAGTGGCATACCTAGTAAATATTCTGGCCAATGGAATCAAAACATACAAATTGACTTGTGCATGTAGACAACCTTAGTAGCTGTTATTACAAAAAACAAGCATGGAAGTCTGTGTCTTTGTGTTACCAACAGAAGTGACTGGAAAGTGAGCGCTAGTGTAGATCATTTTGTCCGTATCAAGCCATGGGACTGACTTGACGGCTTGTCACTGGAATTGGGTGGTTGTTTGGCGTTGCGTTGCCACAGCCTAGAGGTTACCACATTTTTACTGTGAGTGAAGAAAATGCAAGTGTTCCAGGTATCCCAGGCACGACACAGGTGCTCAAAGCAGGCCTCAATAGTGAGTGATCTTCTCCCTCAGGCTGGCAGTTGCTCTCGGGCTGATATTGAATGTTACTATACTTGGAAGGTTGGTCACGTCATCCTAACATTGGTTCATGTTCAAGAAGGGACAGGTAGACAGAGCGCTGTGGTGTCTGTAGGCTTCGTGTGCTGCAGAAAGGCAATTTTGATTGAATGATCCCTGGTTAACTGTGGTGAACAGTGCTTGGTAAGAACTTGAAAACCCCCAAATCTTTCATTTCCCCCGGGCAGCTGTCTCTGAGCACCATTAGCCCAATGTGAGTACTAGTCCTTGACCCCTTTGGCCCTTAATATGTATATTCATGACAATGATATCATTCACTGTTTTCGCCCTTTATCTTGCTTTTGTCCAGATGTTGCCTGATGTCTCACATCCTTCTGTGTGTGCCTGCCCGGCCTTTCCAAATGAAGTATCAACTACCCCAACGCAGGGGTCTGGGACAGCTCAGTGGACCTGCTGACCATCTGCAGGCCTTGTGAGGGATTCTGGAGGGCCTCCCGACTAAACACATTTCTCGATCCAGATGTTCTTGGGGCCTGAAATTGCTATTGTCAGAGCACTTTAGCTGGCTAATGACAAAGAAAGCTCCTATTAGGAGGGGGAAGGGTAAGCTGTGACAAAGTGAGAGAGTGGCATGGACATATATACACTACCAAACATAAAATAGATAGCTAGTGGGAAGCAGCCGCATAGCACAGGGAGATCAGCTCGGTGCTTTGTGACCACCTGGAGGGGTGGGATAGGGAGGGTGGGAGGGAGGGAGACGCAAGAGGGAAGAGATATGGGAACATATGTATATGTGTAGCTGATTCACTTTGTTATAAAGCAGAAACTAACACACCACGGTAAAGCAATTATACTCCAATAAAGATGTTTAAAAAAATAATAAATAAATAAAAAGAAAGCTCCTATTAGAATGTTCATTTCAGGGTACTGAACCATTATCAGCCTTTAGCACCCTCTCTTGAATTAGTATATCATATAAGCTAGTCAGTCAGCTAGAAAAGCTTTGGAGAAATGGGACTTCCAATGAGGGAGGCTCTGCCATTTTCAAAACTAAAACACCAATTCTATAGCTTCTATCAGGTCGAGCCTTACCCTCAGCCTTCTTTCAAAAGCGGAAATGTTGCCTTTGTTCTGCTCCTTCCGCTGCCGCCACTCGATGAGGTTGGCGTTGTGCTCTCCGGGCAGTGAGATGTTGCATTTGCCCAGGGTGGGGTTGACCGCCCCGGACAGGATGTGGGGCTCTGAGCTGAGGCTGATCTCCATCCCGCTGGCAAAAGTGACACGTAGGGAGCCGTCTGGACTCACCCGATAGGTACTCTGGGTATTTTCTGCAGACAGAGGAGCAAACGAGGAAGGGGGGAAGAAAGGGAAGCACAGAAGCAGAGGAGAGACAAGTTTAGCTTTAGGAGGTAAGGTTGGGAAAGGATGAGCAGGTGGGGTGCCGTGGACCTAACTGCCCTCTGGGCTAGACAACCACTCTGACAGGCCAACACACTCTCTGTCCATTTGGGTCTCGTTATTTTCACAGCTGGGCTGTCTTGTTTCTTGGATAAAAGACTCCTGTGTAATACTGCAGGCTGTTTTTGTTTCGAAAAACTTTCTCACTTTTAAAGAATTCCCTCACAAACTCCCTTTCTGACTTGGTGGATTGGCCTCCTCCATTTGATATGCTGGGAGCTAGAACGGGCAGAGTATGAAGTTTAACTCAGTATCATCACTGCGGGGGGACACCAGCACAGTTGCCAGACTCCACAAAATGATACGCTGACAAAGGTCGCCACCGATCCTTTTAGAGTGGCTCAGCCTAACAATAGAAAGAGTCCTTAATGACTGGGCAGAGAGAAAACAATTTCTCTGTGTCCACTTCCCTCTGCTTCCAAGATATTCTTTCCAAATCCACCTCCCTCCCTCCCTTCCTCCCTTCCTTCCTGTTTACTCCTCTATTTCTCGCCCTCTCTCTCCTCACTTCCCTCCTTTCTTCCTTCCCTCTCTCCCTTCCTTCTTTTTCCTTCCATTCCTTTACTTTCCTCTCTTTGAACAGAATGAGCTTTTAATTCTCTCATTTCCCTTATATTCCTGCTTGGTGTGTATCCTCATTCATCCTTTTTATTCACCCATGTCATCATTGCTCTAGAATGCTAATCTCAGATGGGACACAGACTTCATTTCTTTAATATAACCAAATTGGAGCTTAAAGAGCTTTACAAACAGCTGCGTGTTGGGAAATGACTTGATGGAAGAGTAGATTTGGCAGGGATTTAACCTCATAACTCCCACTGGGATGTGGCCCAATGTTGCTATAGGAACTTTGTGAAAGGTGTGACTTTGTCTGGGCTTCAGCCTCCATAGCTGGAATATTGGGAGAAGAAGTCATCTTCTCAGCCAAAAGTGAATTCTAGTCATTGATGGTGTGCAGAGGTTTGATGGTAGAAGTAAGAGAGATGCTGTTAGAGTCTGGCGAAGTTGGAAATATTCTTACCTTGTTTTAAAATATATATGGTACTAGTTGCTGTCAAATTGGTTGACATGAGGACGTTTTCGCGGTTGGAAGTATCTAGCTCCACTTTTGTCAGCTTCTCCAGGTCACTGTGGAAGCTGCTGACCTCTCCAGTGGGAAACGTTGCATTGGTCAGATGCCCCTCGGGGTCATACCTGAGGAATGTAACCAGTCCCAATGTTGAAGTCTCTTGGCAGTGATAACAGGCTTTTGCAAAATAAAAATCACTTGGCAGCTAATACAGTTTAACTTTGAGTGATAACAAGTATTATTAACCTTGTTCAATAAGAAGAAAAAGGTCAGAGAGATGATTAATCAAACGAAGGTATTTTTTGCTGCTTCTGAATTCTTGATGACTTCCTTGAGCTGTGCTGTTTTACAGAAAAAATATATCTGGTAATGAATCACTAGGGTGGAAAACTGATTTATGAGTCATGTCCTGCTGTGTGCAATGTTGCAGGGAGCCCTCCGTTTGCAATTTGGGTCGATCCCATCAGATGTGATGGGTCACAAGGACCAGCAGAGGGTGCTGTTGACAAAGAAAAAGGAGGCATGACTGTCCGCCGCCCCGCCCCGCCCCGCCCCCACCAGCCTGAGAAGGCTAATAAACTGATTTTGCACTGTGATAGGAAAATTATGTTTGCTGCTCTTTAAGTTGCCAAATTTGAAATGAATGAATCATTCTTCCAACAAAATGACCAAGCACAGAAGACAATGGAAACATGTTCATTAAAACATTCTGGAGCCCCCTGATCTCAGTGTCACTTAATTTTTTAATCTTTTTATAATATAGTACATAATGTGTTGTAATTTGCCTATATGAGTAAGAGACTAAAACAAATAATTACCTGGGATAATAGGCAATAACCTATATCTAGAAATATAGTCTTGTGAGTTGACTTTTTTTAAAAGAATCAGAATTATTGGCAATCTCACTGTCCTCCAAATGGAACTGCCTCCCTGAAGGCTTTTGATGTGGAGCTGTTCTTTTATTGCCAATAGAACCATGAAAAATAAACGCTTCATTAAAAGTAAGGACACGCACTTGGAAACCCATTACTGTTTTCAAGTTGTAAATTACAAAATAGTTAAGTACTTTTTTTGCTTTTAAAATGTTAAACAATTATATTCTTTTTACCCAAAGTGAGCAGGATACAGCCTGGACACAGTGGTGGAGTCTGGCTCTACTGCCTTCTCCCTCCAAAATTATGCAAAATGGCCTAGTGATTCAGTGTTAATCCACTACGCTTTAAAGAACTCAGCCTGGATAGCTGCTGAAATTTTAAAACTTAGACCAGCCTTTGGTAGGCTTGGGAAAAGGGGCTAGACATTATTTTATAGGACAAAACTGAACTTGAGGCTATACACAATGCCATCTCAAGTTCAGTTCTGTGTGTACACGAGTGTGTGCACGTGCACACACATGATATCAGTTAAAAGAGTCAGGCACGCAAATAAAAATAATCAAATAGGTCATTTGACATCATAGATATGGCAAGCCCTAGTTGTTTAATTGGATGCACGCTTTGCTTAAATGGATTTCAGTCAAAACGGTTATTGGCATGTTGCAGCTATGCTGCTAAGGCCTCATTATCGAGGAAAGGCTGAAGGGTGCTGTTTGCACCTGGGGTTAATGGCAAAATCCTCCCCCCTGCTCAGCCCGTTTGCCCGTGGCCTGCTCGGGGCTCTGTGGCTGCAAGAAGAAGACCCCTGATGAGAAAGGGGCATGGAAGGGCCTGAACACCTAACACAGCTCCAACTTTGCCTGGTCTTCCTTCCAGAAGAGGAAAACGATATCCAGTTTTGATTCTTGCAAGGTACCAACCTGCTTTTCCCTGTAGGGAGGAGTTTCCAGGCAGCAGACAGAAGGAAGCTGCTGCAGGCCCCCCTCACTATGGAGACTGTGGTCCCACAGCCTGGACTACTCAGGCAGTTCCTCTCTGTTTCACATCCATCACCAGCAACTCTGCCTCATTGGTTTCCCTTTCCTGATTTCTAAAGGGTTTCCTCAGCACTTGGCAAGGTCACTCTTCATTATTCCTCCAGGAGATCTGACCTAAGATGCCACGCATGCAGGTTTCCAACGGGCTTTCCAGCTCAGGGCAGTTTCTTTCTTTCCCAGTCACATAGCCCCTTGTTTGAAAGCAAGATTTCATTGAAAGGTGATGGCAGTGGTCGTGCCCACTTCTCAGGGCAAGATGACAAGATCAGATGCTAACTGAGCCATCCATGAGCAGAGGTCAAAAATCTGAATGAACCTCAGCAGTGGCCTGTGGTGTAATTCCCTGGATAGATGTAGCTGGGAGGCTGCTGCCTGGCTCCTTGTCTGCTGAGAGAGGGAGTGCAGTGGGGATAAGATAGAACTTCCCACAGTCCTGCCCAGGTGCTAGAGAGCTAGAAAGTTGTATTGTCTGATTTCCTTTCTATGGCTGGATAAGCCTCCTTATTTGAAAGTGTACATTTGACTTTATCATAAACAAAGCACTCTACCTTGAGGGCGTTATGCTAAGTGAAATAAATCGGACAGAGTAAGACAAATACTGTATGATCTCACTTATATGTGGAATCTGAAAAAAAACAAAACCAAAAACCCGAACACAAAAAACTCATAGAAAGAGAGATCAGATTTGTGGTTACCAGAGGTGGGGCGGTGGGTGGAGGAATGGGACAGAGGTGGTCAGAAGGTCGAAACTTCCAGTCATAAGTTACATAAGTACTGGGGACGCAATGTATAACACGACAGTAGTTAACTGCTGTGTGGTATGTATGAAAATTCCTAAGTAAGTAAATCCTAAAAGTTCTCATCAGAAGGAAAAACATATTCTTCTTCTTTTTTTTTTGTATCTATATGAGATGACGGACATTCACTAAACTTGCTATCATCATTTTGCAATATATATAAATCAAGTCATTATGCTGCATGCCTTAAACTTATATAGTGCTGTATGTCGATTATATCTCAGTAAAACCGAAGGGAAAAAACCCAAACAAACAAAGCACCCTACCCCCCAGTACGCTCACCCACCCCAATTCTGCTAGTCACAGCCAAAGCAATGGCGTCTGGTGGTGTCTGCAGTGTGGCGCCTCTCCTGGGCTCAGTCAAAACCTACAGGCCCAAGTCTCTTCTGTGGGGTCATGCTCAAAGGAAGAGCAGATCCCACAGCTTTGGAAAGATTGCTCCAAACTGGATAAGAAATAAAGGAAGCCTTTGAGTTCTTACGGCTTGCTTGAGGTTTCTTTTTGTTGTTGTTGTTGTTGTTTCCCCTCCATCACAGGGGACTGCATGTTTCCAGACTGAATGTCAAAGAAACAAGTTTAATCAAAATGTCTTACGCTGTTCTGTGGGCTTCCCTCTGGTGCCTGCATCCTTTGGTGCAGAGAACGCAAGCCAATACGCTGCAACTGATCCCTTCAGGCCATGACAGGGTTGTAACTTCCACCGCCCTGCCCCCATTCCCCCTCCCTACCCTGGGCTGCAAATTCTGGTTGGTGAATTGTGTGATCAGGCATTGACTGTTGCCTTCATGGTCATCAGGAGTGAGCTTGGGAAGAGGAGATTTGCCATCGCCTTGTCCCTTCCCGTCCCTGATTTTACAGAGTTCCACTGTGTGCGTGCGCACACACGTGTCCCCGTGGATCAAAGGAAACATTTGTAAAGGAAATTCAGAATTCATTCTTGTCCTTGAGGAACATATAGTTTATATTAGGGGAGATGATATTTACACATTATTAAAAATATATTTGGTCTGATATTTTCTCGTAAGGGACAGCCTGCCCTTTCCCTTGAGGACAATTTAAGCCAGAGCTAAACCGGGCAGGGTAAAAACGAGTAGCTCTTCCATCTTTGCTCTTCTTAAGAAAATATTGAAGATTATAGAAGAAAAATTCATTACTTATTTTTTTTAAAGGAAATAGACCCTCTTTGCCCTCTCATGCCGGAAACCTGACCAACCTAATAAGCGTTCTTTAGGAAATACTGGATTTCCCTTTCTTCACCAATAACTTCATGTGGCTCCCTATGATTCGGCCCAAGTCCATAATGCCCTTCTATCTTCACTTGTCCTTCACTCAATAAATATCAGTCCTGTGCTAGGGACTGGGGATACTGTGGTGAATGAACTTCAAAGTCTAGTGGCGTAGGTAAGATACGCACACAAATCACTCTGATGCCAGAATATTGCCATATACTTCTGTAAACAAGGAGCTGCAGAAGCTCAGAAGAGGCAGAAGTTACTTCCAGGCAGGCTGAGCAGAAGAGAAGGAGGTGGTATTTGAATCCTGGAGGGTAGCTGGAGATCAGTCCCTTGATAGGTAGAGACTGGGGACGGGAGGAAGGCATTCCAAAGGCAGGCACACCGGTGGCTGGGATGACCATCAAGGGAAGCGTGGTGCTGGAGCACACAGGTCCTCTCGGAGGGGAGTGGGAGATGAGGCCGGAGAGGCACGTTGGAAGCAGAGCACGGGGAAACTGGGGTGTCAGGCTCTGGAGGAAAGCATGCAGTCAGTAGACAATGGAGAGGCGTAGGAAGCTCTTCAGGGGGAGAACGGTATGATTCAAGCAGTTCTTCGGTGGCAGTGAATCTCGGAAGGGAAGCTATGGAGCAGGGAAACCTGTTGGGAGGCTAACGCCTCAGTTTGTGTAAGAGAAGATGGTGGCCTCTTGCCTTTATGAAATGCGTTGTGATCGCCTATCCTTGGGACCAGTCTTCCTTCCTAGGTTGTAAACTCTCACATCTTTAGAGAGAGGACACAGTGTCTCATCACCTCTGTATTTTCGGTGTGTGGCACAGAGCAGACTCTCACTGCATATACTTGTTGAATGAGAGAAACAGGATCTGCCAGTGGAAATGGGAAGGAAGGGGTGGGTATGAGAGTCAGCGTGGTGAGAGGATAGACAGAGCCACCCCAGGTGGTGTGGAGGCTTAGCTTACACGGACGTCCTGTGAGGTGCAGCTCATCTTCCCAGCCAGGCTCTGAAAGCTCGTTTGGCCAGCAGCCTCTCTTCCTTCTGTTCAGTCCCTTTCTCTTTGGTAGTTCTCTCTCCCCAGCATGAGCCACGACAGTTCTCTCTGCCCATTCCTGAGCCTTACCAAGGGCATAAAGCACAGGGGGAAGGAACTGAGCAAAGGTGTCCAGTCTGTCTCTGGAGTCCTGA